CCTCATCAGGATAGTCACTCCCCAGCAGCACCCTGTCGACCCGACAATGCGTGACACCATCGCGTAGATATTTGCGTCGTATAGGAACGGCGATGCCGCCGTGTCGAACCACACGTTCTCAATCGCCTCCTTAACTTCAGGCATCAGTGCGTAGAATGGAAGTCCTCCGCCCCAGTGTGCGCAGACGATCTTTACATTGGGGTGGTCGCGTGCATTCTCGATGAAACGCATAAGCACGTCGGGCGTTGTCCGTCCTTGCCTTGGTACTGGTGACCGACTGGCTCCGACGAGTGAGTGGTGACGACAAGGCCATGCTCATCCGCCACTTCCAGGATGGGCCTCATAGTATCGGCATCGCCAAGGTCGAAGCCCTGCGTATCTGGGTGAAGCTCACCGAGTCCTTTAAGGCCCATTTGAGCGCATCGTTCCAGCTCGCGAAGCCCGTCGTCGCCCCAGGCGGGATTGACCGAGCCGAACCCAATCAGTCGGTCAGGATGCTGCGAGGACGGACTCCGCTATGTAGTCGTTGCATTCTCTGGCGAGATCGATATCCGTCCAGCCGAAACCCATCGTGACTGACTGATCGACACCATCCGCGTCCATTGCCGAGATCAGGTCTTCAGCAGTGGCCAGCTTGGCTCGGGGATCGGCGAGCAACTCCCCGAACGTAGCGTCGCGTTTCGCCCACTTCTCTCGCTCTTGTGACAGCCACGGCGGCAGGATGTGAGTATGGAAATCGGTGACCAAACCCTACTGCGCTGTCATCCCCCCGTCGATCACGAGCTCTGAACCGGTAATGTAGGATGACTCGTCCGATGCCAGGAACAGGATGCCGCGAGCGATCTCCATCGCGTCGCCCATGCGACCCATGGGGATGCGCTCCAGCATGAAAGTCAAGTCGCTCCTCGGTCTGTGCCCCCAACTCCGTCATTGGTGTCAGCATGAAGCCGGGATGAACCGAGTTTACCCTGATCCCGTCGCCGGCAAGCTGCACGGCAGCCGACTTGCTGAAGATGCGAGACGCACCCTTGCCGGCGTGGTACGCGGTTGAACCGATGCTGCCGACTATGCCAGTAGATCGACGAGATGTTTATGATCGATCCGCCACCGCGCCCGCATGTGAGGAATCGCGTGCTGGTACCAGGAAGACACCCTTGCCGTGAATGTCCATCTGGCCCTGCCAAACCTCCTCGGAGGTTTCCTCGACCGTCGGCCGTCCTCCAGTGCCGGCGTTATTGACCAGTACGTTCAGTCCACCGTATGTGGAGACGGTCGTCTCGATGGCTTCCTGCCACTCGCTTTCGCTGGTGACGTCCAGTCGAGTGAACATCACGTCGTGGCCTTCGTCGCGCATCTGCGCGACTGTTCTCTCGCCAGCCGCGACGTCGATGTCAGTCAGTACTACCTTGGCGCCCTCTTCGGCAAACAGCCATGCGGATGCTCCTCCGAATCCCATGAGCTCTCCCTTCACGCCGTGGGCGGCACCGGTTATCAGAGCGACCTTATTCTCAAGCCTCAATTTGCGCACCTCCAGGTCCTGTCTGGTGGGGTCGATTATATCAGTTGTCCGACACGCCTGGACGTGCTAGAGTCCGGCCATGCAAGCCACGTCCGTTGTCGAAGCGAATAGCGTCACTTTCAGGTACGGTACCCTTCAGGTTTAAACGGACTCTCGTCTCTCTGTTCAAGAAGGGGAGATATTCGGCGTGCTCGGAGCCAACGGCTCCGGCAAGACCACTCTTATGAGGATCATGGTCGGCCTGCTTCGGAGCGAGGGCGGGACGCTCACGGTATACGGCGAGTCCCCGTCTGCTGGACACGCGGCCCGGATCGGTTACATGCCGCAGCTAAGCGCTCTCTACCAGGAACTCTCTGTCAGGGAGAACGTCGACTTCTTCGCGCGGATGTACGGGATGTCAGACAGGCGACTTCGCAATCGGTCTGTGGAAGAGGCCGTCGACCAAGTTGGCCTTCTGGAACGAATCGCCGACCCAGTTCTCAACCTCAGCGGAGGTATGCGCCAGCGGGTGAGTCTCGCCATCGCCTTGGTACACCGGCCAGCACTGCTGCTTCTGGACGAACCCACCGTCGGACTCGATCCGGACTTACGTGCCGTGTTTTGGGTTCGCTTCAGGCGCATGGCGGAGTCCGGCACGACCATCATGATCTCCAGCCACACTATGGACGACGCGGCCCACTGCGACAGGCTGGCCTTCCTCAGAGACGGGAAAGTGATTGCCCTCGATACTCCCATGGCGCTCCGCGCGGCTACTGGTCGCTCCGACGCATCTCTCGAAGATGCGTTCTTGTATTTCCTTGGCAGGTCGGCAGACTGATGTCTATCGACCGCACTCTTGCAATCACCGAGCGGATTATTCGACAGATACTCCGCGACCGACGCTCAATCGGACTTCTGGTGGTTGGACCACTCATCGTCATGTCCCTCGTAGGCTTCAGCCTCTACGAGCAACGCGCAGTTCTCGACCGAGTCGCCCCTGGCCTTCTGGCAGTGTTCGTATTGTTCTTCACGTTCATTTTGACCGGGGTCGGATTCCTGCGTGAGCGCGCACAAGGGACGCTCGAACGCCTCCAGACCACGCTCGTGGGCAGCTTCGACATAATGCTCGGTTACATGCTCGGCTTTCTGATCTTCGCCATCGTACAGACGGTGGTGATTCTACTATTCACCATCTTCGCTCTCAGCATCGAATACGTCGGAAGCCTATGGGAGATCGGCGTCGTCCTCTTCCTACTGGTAACTGTCGCCGTTAGCCTGGGAATATTCATTTCTAGCTTTGCCAGCAACGAATTTCAGGTCGTCCAGTTCATACCTATAGTCCTCGCGCCTCAGATCTTTCTGTCCGGTGTAATAATTCCCGTCGAGCAGATGCCCGCTCTCTTCGAGTGGTTTTCCGTAGTTATCCCCCTTACTTACGCCGTCGACGCCCTGCGGGAAATCATGCTGCTCGGCACGGACCTGACGACGCTGTGGCTCAACCTGGCCGTAATTGCAGCTTTCTCCGTGGCGCTCCTGGCCGCGGCAGTAGCAACCCTGAGGCGCTAGGCTATAGCATCGATGCGACGGAAGACGCTGCTCCGGATCGCCATGCTCGTCGCTGTCGGTGCAGTCATTGGAGTCGTGCTTCGTCAGATGTCCATACTCGACAGGTTCATGGTCTACTTCCCAAGTCGGCAGCTCCACACGACGCCCGCGGAAGTGGGCTTGGAATACAGCGATGTATACCTGACCACTGAGGACGGAATACGGATTCACTCGTGGCATGTGCCTGGCAAGTCGAACACGACGTGCTGTGGCTTCACGGCAATGCCGGCAACATCAGCCATAGAGTAAACAACATCGCTGCACTCAAACAGGCGCACCGGTCTGGGAGTTTCTGATTGTCGACTACAGGGGCTATGGCCTCAGCGAGGGGAGTCCGTCCGAGCGGGACTCTACGCGGACGCAGAGGCTGGGTTCGACTACCTCGAATCCGAGCTCGGCTTGATCCGGTGGAGGACATAGTGCTGTTCGGGACGCTCGCTGGCGCGGGGGTTGTGCCGCCGAAACAGCGACTCGTCACGCCGTCAGGTGTGTGATACTGGAATCCGGTTCACCTCGACAATAGATATGGCCAGAGCGACCCGTCCAGAGTGGCTCGTCCGCGCCCTCATGCCGTTCGTCGGGGCCCGCTACGACACCTGTCCAAGATTGGCAGACATCAAATCGCCGGTCATGATCGTCCACGGCGACCGTGACGACATCGTTCCGTTCCACATGGCCGAGCAGCTGTTTGAGGCTGCGCGTGACCCCAAGCGCTTCCACGCGTCAGGGGCGCCATGCACAACGACGTCTACAAGCGCGGCGGCGCAGCTACTTCAAACGCCCTGAGAGAGTTCATCGAAGACCCGACTAGTGCTCGAACATCATGCGGAGCGCAGCGAGGGCCTCGCGCATGTCGCCGATTGTATCTTACCTAGTCTGCGTGCCATTCTGCTGCGGGTCCACGGTATGCACTTGGTCCAAGACAATGTGCACTGCCTTGCCTTGGAATTCGCAGGCTATCCTGAATGGGTACGCGTGGCCTCCAGTGGTCATCGGAGCGACTACGAAAGTGTGAGAGCGCCGTTCAACTCGTCAGGAGACACCACGAGGCACGGCCTCAGATTCCTTATCTCGCCGCCGCGATCAGGGTTGAGCATGACGAGGTACACATCGCCCCTTCGGACTTCGCTCACTTCCATTCCCACTCTGAGTTATCAAATTCCGTTGCCAGAGGCTCATCCAGGAATGTGTCTTCGCCACGCGTCATGCATCAGTGCTGCAGCGTCAGCCCACCTGCACGCATCTTCTGGGTTCGCTCTATCAGCAACCCAGTCTCTACCACGCGTAGTTCAACCTCCTCTCCCAGACCTGCCTCCTCTATTAGCGGCTTGGGAAGCCTCACACCACGTGAGTTGCCAATCCTGACTATTCGAGTCTTCACGGCATTTGTCCTCCACAAACATAGTGATTA